GCTTATTTATTTGCTTTTCTTTAATTATTGTTTATTTTTTTTTTGAAGGAATATTCATGTAGCCATAATAGACATTCTAAATTATTGTGTAAGAAATATAAATTCTAAATTTATTATTCGCTTATGCATTTAAAATTATAAATTTATTTCTTTTAAGGTTCTGAGTCTTTTTATAATTACTTAATAGATTAGAATTATATATTAAACAACCAACAATCATAAACCAATACAGTTATATAATTATTAAAATATTTATCTATGTGTGAATATTATAATTTTAAATTTGACTAATAATAAATAATTTGTTATTTTTATATATTATATATTACAAATAATCTGTTGATACTATTTAATTAAATTATACTAATAATTTAATTCACTAATATATTTATAAAGTTAAAATGGCCAAGTGATTTTATTTATAACGAATCATAAAATATTTAAATAAAATAAAAAATTTGTAACTGATAATTCACTTAATTATATATTACATGGAGACAAAAAAATGTTGGCAAACACTTTTTAATTTGTCAATAAATTTTTTTTAAAAAAAACACTAATTACAATTATATAACATCAGTATATTACAATTCATAAAAGCTTGTCAAAGTGATAATGAGGTTTGCTCAGTACTTTAACAAGCTATATTATAATTTTTTTGTATGTAATATTCTCAAATAAAAAAGAAATAAATACAATGGACTAGTATAAAATAGTAATTATATGAAAAATTTTAATTTTGGTATATAATAGTTGGTCTATTATTATTGTCATTGTATAATAATAATAATAATAATCATCATCATAAATTTTTATACATTAAATACATATATTTTTTTTCTTATTCAGCAGTATACTCGTATTAAAATAAAAAAGAAACATAAATATAATCGAATTCATTAAACATCTATATTTTAATTAAATATTATGTTATTTAAAACACATAAATAGATTACTGTAAAATAAAATTTAAGAAAAATATATGATATACTTTTTAAAACTTCATAAATCATAATTTCCAAAGTTTACTTTAATCAATATAGCAAAATTCTCCACATCCTTAGTTACAAACCAAAAATTGATCACATTATAAAAATATAATGTCGAACTATTCAAAAAACTATAATAAATATATATTATATACTATAAAATATATTTACATGATCACATATATTTGCAATATTGTAAAATAAACTTCCAACCATAATTTGGAATGAAATACAAAAATTATAATGGAAACAGGTTATAGGCTTATAGACTAAACTTATTTATTTGTTAGGAACCTAAAATAATTAATATAAAAAAGTCATCAAACTTGAGAAATTTGCATTGTAATTTTTATAAATAAGAATATGTTTAGTTTGAAGGATATATTTTACAAATTAGTAAAAAAACTCTGAAACTAATATTTAGTAAGAATATATTTAAGTAACTATTTATTAAAACTTAATTTAAAATGTTTAGAATATAGAATGTGACAGTTATGTTTAAGTATATTTAATAATATTAATAAAAATATTGAAATAATAAATTTATAAATAATAAAAATAATTATCATAATTACTAAATTTTTATTTAACATTATTTTAATAAATTTAGCATTTTATTTTAATTTAATTGCTATGCTTACTTTGTTTAATATAATTATCAAATCATCATTATTTAAATTTTAAAATAGTAATTATTAAAAAACTTAATAAATAATTATTACATTTTATTTTAAAAATAAATCAATAAATTAATAAAATTAAAAATTATAAATATAATTCATAAAGTTATTATTCATATGCTATAACACATCATATATAAAAGTAATAATAAACATATACTTTAAACTTTTTCATTTCATTCTTATTAGTGAAAAAAAAGTTTTTATTCACACGCTATTCATGTTTTCCGTTAAAATTCTAGTAATATTTTATTTAAAAATACTGTTAGTCTGTGGCTATTTACGGCGACAAAACCAGAGGCCCATATTTAAGCCCAATTGCCGTTTTAAACGGTTCAAACCCAAAATATCATACCTAGTTGAAAATCATCATCGTCAACTCAGTTTCAGCTCAGCGAATCAGCCCAGCCAAGAATTTGAACTCTCAAATTGGATCAAAATTTAGCATTGATCTTGCATTGGTATCTGATGAAAATAAACCCCAAATCTCCCTCCCTCTTCGCGCGCCTCTCCTCTCTATATTAGCTCTGGAGATCAGCGTTCTTCTTCCGCTGTAACGAGTTCTTGTCTGCACCGAGCGCTTCTCCTTCACCAACGGGCAAACACTGGCGAGGAAGACTGCTATTCGCTTCTTTTCAGCAAGTAGCGCTTCTCAACTATTGGATATAAAAGCGTATCAGCTTCAGCAGTGTCAGTGGGAACACTTGTAAGGAAGAGGGAGTGAAGTAGAAGAAAATGGAAGGGATGGAGGTCCCAATCATGGGCAGCGACTCTGTCAAATGGACGGAAGTGTCTGTGCCGTCTTCTTCTGGTGAAAATTCCATCGTTCCTCATTCCGACGGTCACTCTACCAGAACTGCTACTACTGCTTTCGCTCCTTTAACCCGGGATACCGCTTCCTGTTCCGTCATCGGAGATCCTCCTCTATATCTCGTTTGGTACGTTTTTATGTTGCTATATTTTCCTTTTCTTTCTGCAAAACACTTGACTGGTTTTGTTTATTTCCTTTTCCATTTGTAACTGCAAAGAGAAAAAATGTTGCCCTAAATTCAAAACTCGATGTCAACAGGAGAATCCACAAGGTCCGACCTCACACTCTCGAGTTGGTCCAGCTCTCTGCTGGTGAAGAATTCCCTGCTACTGGCCTCCGTCTCAACTTTCCTCATGGCCTTTCTCCTTTTGCCTTTATCTTTAAAGATCAGGTTTGTTGAAGTTTTCCAAGATACACATGACATGACTCCGTACATGCTTTCATAAAAAACATGTTTATATACGAAATATGTCCAGTTCTTGCAAATGAAAATAAGGATTGAAAATAAAAGTGAAAATATGTCATAGTTTTGATCAGTTATTTCTTTTTTAAACTCGTGCTGTACTTTTATCTTACCCATTCCTGATTGGCGCACTTGGAGCTTTTAGTCATCTTCTGCTTATACTTGTAAATTTTTTTAGAGTTTCTGATTGACAACCTCAATACCCTTAATAATGTAATATCTATAAGCCTTTGGAAAGTAAACTCAGATTTTTTTAATGAATTTCTCTTTTCAACAGGATTAACACCAATAACATTCTTGTTTAAAAAAAAACACCAATAACATTCTTTTTTTTTTCAATAGAAGAAATATTATAAGGACTAGAAAGTTACAACTATAATGATAGAGAGTAAGATATTCTCTTAGAGCTTTCTCAAAGAAGAACTAAAAAATATGATATATTACAACTGAACCCACTGAAGCTCAGTATATTATTGTCTCTCAGTTCCTATATAATTTGAAAAGAGCTAGAAATTTCTTGTGAGTCTTCGCCATAAGAATGCTAAAATGTCATCCTCTCCTATAGATCTTGAGTTGGGAAAAGCGGTCTTGGAAATCCTATGATTATGTTCTAATCATAATGTTCAGAAACCCTGGATAGAGCACTATGCCAAAGAGGTTTATAACCTTTGTCATCCCTTCCCCATAAAGATTTGAACTCATAGAACATTATAAGGAGGAACAACTCAAGCCAATGCAAACATATCAAGTAACATTGTCCAGATTCCAAGCCACATGGCATTGGAGAAATAAATGCTTGTCCCCTTCTAGCAACACACAACACAAACATTCAGTGAAAGAGCTTGATTAGACCTGCAAATTTGCTGCAAATCATTAATGTTGAGTCTATTTAGAATAGCAGTTCATGCAAACACTTTCACTTTTGAAGGGACTTTAGCTTTCTTAAATACATTGGTAGAAAGAATATAATAGTAGTTAGGGTTATAGGTTATATGGTGAAAGAAAGACTTGAATGTGTATAATCTTGAGGGCTCCAAGGTCCAAATCCTGCTATTGGGCTAGTGGACATGGTGGAACAATTCTATGAAATTTAATAGGGTTAGCATTTCATTAGTCTCGTGGTGGGGTAGGTTTTTGAAAAAGTGAAAGTTCCAAGGAACAATTTTGACTGT